CGCCTCTGTGGACGCCTCCCATGATCGCAGGTGACCAGCTCCACACCCCGAACTCCCTCCTCCTTGGGGTCGAACCATTGCCAGAACCCTGGGAGACAGTATTGTCCTGATCAGGTCTATGGGGGTATCAAATAGCACATTTTCTTCCTGCAGTAAGATCGTTCTAATTTCTGCTTTGGGTTTCAGTGACAGGCATATCTTGAAAAACACTACACTTTATCCTAGTATCCTGTTCTTGGAATTGCTTACAGACAGATAAAAATGTGCTTGTTTATTCTTTAATTGTTATTGTTGAGTACTATGCAGTCTATTTTGATGCATAACCAACCTATGTGACAAAATAGAGCTGCCCCATTGGGTTTTCTAGGCTGTCATCTTTATGGAAACACAACAGGTCACCAGGCCTTTCTTCAGCTCAGCTGCTGCATGAGTTTGAACCACCTGACACTTAATAGCCAAGCATCATGTACCTGTGGTACCCCCCCAAACCAAAAAGTTCACTGTCATCAAGTCGATGCTAACTCATAGTGACCCTACAGGACAAGGTAGAACTAACTGGCCCTGTGGGTTTCTGAGACTGGAACTCTTTACAGGAATATAAAGCCCCGTCTTTCTCCCCAGGAGCAGCTGGTGGCTTCCTGCTGACTTTGTGGTTAGCAGCTCAATTTGTAACCACTCCGCCACCAGGGCTGCAGGTGGGTTCTGACTATGAAGGGGCTGCACAATATTCATGAGACATTGCCATGATCTTTTCCTTTGATTCTTTCGCGAACTTTCTGAAGGCCTCCCGTAGGTGTTTAGAGGCTGGGAGGAGGTAGAGAAAGAGGCAGGTTTGATCCCAGTTAAGAGTCCACCTGGCAGAGTAGTGGATTGAACAATGGGCTGCTATCTGCAAGGTCAGCAGTTCAAACCCACCTGCCACTCTGAAGGAGAAAGATGAGGCTTTCGGCTCTCTTAAAGATTTACAGACTTGGAAAGCCGAAAGGACAGCTCTACTCCATCCTACGGACTTGCTATGAGTCATAATGATCTGGGTGAGTCCTGATCTGATCTGACTGGGGGCCCTAAGAAAAACGACACAGAGGTTGGGGGAAAAGGGCTCATAGAGATGGAGCTATGCAGTAGCTGCAGGCTAAAGAATGCCTGAGGCTGCCTACCAGACACTGAGAGAGACAGGGAAGGATCTTCCTTCTAGGGCTTTGGAAGAGAGCACGTCCCTGCAGATATCCTAAATGCAGACGCAACCCCCCAGAAGTCGGAGACCATACATTTCTGTTTTTCTAAGACATCCAAATGTTAGTGTGATCCGAGAAACCCATACACCGCTCACTTTCATCGAGTCAATGGCACATCGAGTCACAGTGGCACTCTAGGGCAGGGGAGAAACTGCCCCTGTGGCTTTCCAGGAATGAACTCTTTACAGGAGCAGAAAGCCCCTTCTTTCTACTGAGGATAGATTGGTGGTTTGGAACGCCTGATCTTGCAGTTCCCAGCCCAATACTAAACATTAGCCACCAGGGGTCCTAATATACTTCCACTATAAGAATATTACCAACTGCCGGGAGAACAAGCAAATCTGCCTTGGAAGAAGTACAGCCAGCACCAGCCTATGCAACCACGAGGTGTCGAAGGGATCAGGTGTAAGGCATCATCAGAACAAAAAATCTTACCATAGTGAATGATGGGGGGAGTGCGGAGTGG